GGTTGTAAACCGTATGTTTGGGGGGCGGGTGTAAGGGATGCTGTTATATTGTATGGAGATGTAATTTTTTTTTTCTGTTGTGTGTGTTTTGGACTTGTGTAGAGTGAACGAAAATGGTTTTTAGAGTCGTGTTGGGGGTTTTGGTGGGTGAGGTGTTTGGGGTTCTGATATTTCTTTTCTCTTGTTCTTTTGAATGTGCCTTTTTTCTTGTTGTAATTTGTTGATATATGAGAACGTCTTACATTTTTTTTTTGTTTTTCTTGATGGTGTGGTGTGGGTTGGATGTTTTTGGTTGGGGGTGAGGGGCGTGAAGCGGTCAGTATGTCCGCTAATCTTCCACAGATTAGTGGTATGACAGAATTGTTGGCGCACAGTATCTGCGCGGTTATGCATCAACCATTCAACTTGGGTCTTGGAGTAGACTGGTGGTGTCGGGGTAAATAGGTAACTGTTTTTTTTGAGTCGTGCAAAACTTTATGGCTAGGCATATTTGGCACAGGTGTAGATGACGTATGCTTTGATATCTTTGGATATTGCTGCAGAAATGGTGCATGTGAGAGCGTCGCTGCCTTTCCAACTTGCTCGTTCGTGGGAGAAATCACAAAAAATGACATCGTCGTCGTGAGCACTATGTCTGTTACGCGACCCTTAAGTCACCCCTCAGAGATGTAAGTTCCATTCCAATCGCTCGACCTTTTCGGCATAGATCGCTGGCACAGACGGTTGCCTTCCAGTTGAATAGCCGTGACAACCAAGTTGCGTATACACCACTTCAATCCGTACCTTATGAAGTGGACCAAGGTTGTGCCAAAACAGCTCAAAAAGAATGGACTGGTTCCGGACATCCCATGAATGTGCTCCATATAGTGCTGGTATGGGACTTATTCCTTTTTTTTTCCTTGCCCTGACCCATGTATCCGTTTCTTGTCATCTTCGTGATCCGATGTTTTTACATTCCTGTAACACAAACACTCCACTACTCTCCGTGCATCCGGCGCCTGCGCGCACCCTCCGCCCGTCCGGCGCTCTTGATCTGGGCACCAACTTTGTCGAGCCTCCACCGGTCGGCGATCGAGGGTTGTACGAAGCGCAGAGGAAGAGGGCTTTCGGTGAATTGAACCTTCTTTGGGGTGATGCAACATAACGCCGGTATCCGTGGGTGAAGACACCGTCCGTCACGAAAGTTTCTTCCTTCTTTACGACCACTTTTGAGGGAAATATAAGAAACTGATCCGGCAGCACCGCCTATTCATCTGAAAAGTTGAATTCCCACTTCCCCGTCTTTTTGAACGCCAGGCTCCCATCATGCGCGTCATCTCCGCTTCCCTTGCATCCCTAGCCCTCGTCGCCGGCATCGACGCGGCGGCAACAAACTGGCAAGAGTCGCTCTGCCTTCACCCGTCCCAAGTCCAGACCAACTGGTTCCAGAACGGCATCGGCGCGTATGGGCAGAAGGATGGACAAGTTCCTAGCTTGACGTGAGTGCGAGTTGAATTTAACAAACGTCAACTCGCTGCGATTCGCCGTGATTGTCAGCATCGTCATTTCTTCCCCCGGTGATCTGACCCAAAACTGACAGCTCCCACAACAACTTCATCAACTACTGTTTGGGCAAGGAAACCACCAACGGTCGCCAATTGGATAATGGGTCATGTAACCCCCTTCCCATGGGCGATCTGCCAAGCATCGACAAGATGGTCTCGTCTATTATCATCTACCCCGCACCTGGTCAGTAAGACGTCCTCTCAATCCCCCATCCAAGCCCACCCTGCTAACAACCGCTCCTCCCCACCACAGGCGACATCCTCCCCGCCAACAAACCCTTCACAATCCACCTAAAAACCACCAACCTCGCCGGCTCATCCGCCACAAACGACAAAACCAACAACTTCGCTTCCCCGCAACAACTCGACAAGCACGGGTACGTTATCGGCCATACCCATGTGACGGTGCAATATATGGGACCAGACTTGACGCCTCAGAAGCCTTTGGACACGAGGGAGACGGCCTTCTTCCTTGCGTTGAATCGGCATTTTAAGGGTGATGGAAGTGCGGAGGTTGAGGTTGTTGGGTTGAAGCCTGGGGGGTATAGGGTTTGTACTATGGCTACGCAGGCGGGACATCAGGTACTTTTGTTGGCGTGCTTGTGGACATGGAGTACACGTGGGTAGCTTTCATTGACAGGTTCTTTCTTTTCCGCAGCCCGTTGTCATGCCCATTGCTGATCGTGGTCATGTCGATGACTGTACCAAGTTTTTGGTTCAATGAGCTTTTGACAGAATAGTTCATTCACATGTAAACAAATATATCCCAGGAAGCAGCGCGTAGGACGCTCTTCAGGTGCAGATGCACAACATGTTTCATGGTGTGATGTTATTGTGGCAAAATTTTGTGTTTTTCACATTCGTGACATGCATGGAACAATGGTCCAAACTACAATCTTGAGAAGAGGTGTCGCTGACGCACGATCAAGTTGGCCGTTTCACAGAGCTGGATGCACTTATGTACTGATGGACATAGGCAAGAAGCTCGGAATTCAAACTTTCCAAACCTCGATTGGATTCGATCAATGTGACCATGAAAACATCACAAGCTTGAAGCATCGGTCAAGCGACTGGAAGTCAACAAGCCCTCTCTCGATCTGTCGCGGTCAGATGGATCATGGTGCCCCAGCTGAACAAAATTTTCTTTTGGCGTTAAGGCTGGCCCAAGTCTGATGCATCTCATCGTCAGAAATCGAATTCGAATGTTCGAGCGTCTTTTGTGGCCGGACGGAGATTTGGCCATTTGCTCACACTGCTCAGCCTGACTCCTCCCCAAATTTTTTCAAATTTCGCAAACGGATATGGATGTCAACATCAACGTTTGAAGTGTTTAAGCATCGTTTGATTAGTGGACTGGCTTGTGACAATAGGCAGGCCAGCCTCATACTCCCTAAAGCACCATATCCGGACGACCTCGCGGGGTCGGTGGAAAAAGGGGTGGAAAAGATGGTGCCATTCAGGACACGCCCAAAACAAGTTGTAAGAACGAAAAACATACGAAAATGATGAGGAATGGTGGAAAAAACGAATGTAAACATCTGCAAGCGACACGAGCAGGATTCGAACCTGCGCGGGAAGATCCCAATTGATTTCTAGTCAATCGCCTTAACCACTCGGCCATCGTGTCGTAATGAACAATGTCGACATAAGCGTAATCATTCTCAAACTATAATCTCATGCAAACGATGTTGGAAAAGTCAATTTCGCCGCATATACTACTGTAGTATACTTGCGGGCAAGACACACTTCTTGATCTTTACATGGCTCAGCAAGCGAAGCGAGAATAGAAGCTTTAGTAGTTGCTCAAGGTTGTATCACCAAATGTTCCGTCACGGCTCCCTGCTTCGTGATTTATGATATCAGGTCTTTTCCAATGGATGCGTTTGCGACAAAATTGCCGTGCCAACTGTTTCGAACAATCACAGAGACGTTTGGAATGAGACGAGCGTTAGAAGGAAAATTGGTGGACGGTCCCCTTGGCTCCAGTGTGAGTCAGGTATTTTGCAAGACCTGAATGGGGTTCGTCAGGGTCTTTTGGCATCCTTTGTTTACAAACAAAGTAAGCCACACAACGACTTGATGGGTATTACTTACATCCAAAACCACATCCCAGCAGAAACGCAATCATAGAATTCATGTAAGCGTATGTATGGGTGACAACCGCCACTTTAGCAAACTGATAACGACTATCTTGTGGGGCGTTTTGCTAATGGAAGATATAAGCGAAGACTCAAAATGGCAGAAAAGGCAAACCCCGGAAAATCCTGGGAACCACATCTTTGCATGTTCGATGGTATCATCAGAGAAAGACATCCAACTTGTTTAGTATTGCTTATTGGAAGAGCTTGCAGCGACGGAATTCCCTACTACTCTTTGACGAGGTTGCCTCCTGAACTTCCTGAACTGCTCAAGCAACTAGAGCTCATCTAAAGGCAACACGTTCCGAAGAGCAGGAGCTAAAAAAACGCTGTTCCTAAAGCTCGCCATATCGCCAAGGAGTTGCTATGCCATTTGTGGTTATAAAGACCATATTCAGCACCAACTCAATCAACTCCGTTTCAGTCGATGTCGAACCTTCTTACATTCCATAAACTCGGACCTATCTGAAAGACCTACTCCCCCAACTCTCACCATCCGGATGCAATACCTGCAGCAGGTTGAAACAATTGCAACGGACTCACTCCACTCATAATACTGATCATATTGATCAACGCCGCCGAGCGCTCTGATAGCGCTTGCGCGTGAAAGGGTTAGGCTTACAATGCAAAGAGTGCAACGCATCGAACATGTTATCATCTCCGGTCTCCACCGCGCTTCTGAGTCATCTTGGGAAAACCATTGAAATTTAGTCCATGCCTGCGCAAAGGAAGAACGAAAGATCACCCTCAAAACATTTTCAACGAGGATCCATCAGATTGTTGAATGCTCTCGTCAAAATTCAAAACGCTCATTGGCTGGGTGTGAATAGTCAGCACCTTCCTGATTCTGAAACACCCGAGACACTAGTCAGCCACTGATTATGACATTTCTATCTTTCAGTCAGCACCGCATCCCTACTCCACTTGAATCGGGCACACTCAAGGCCGCAAGATCTGCTTTGATTTACACGAATTCAAAAGCTAAGAAGCCGCAACATTCAACATCAAACAAACCTCTTAAAAATGGAAAGGTACTCAGAAGACAGCGCTTTCAGAAGCTGTCTAGGTGGCACCCACTTTCCCCTCACTGGAATGCAGCGCCGCGGATGATTTGAGCGGGGGATATGTGCCACATGCGCTCGTATCCAACGGTCCCATCGGCTGGGAAGCTTCCCCACAGACCGTACAATATATGACATCGGTCGGTTATCATGCGATCTTGAATGCAAACATGCTGTTGTTTTGCAGCCGTGATCATGACGTTCCGTTCGTGTTCTCTCACGTTCCGCTCGTGTTCTTTCATCGTCCGCCAAAAGGAGTTTAGACCAGCCGCTCCCTCTACGCACCGAGGAGGCATCCAGACTGCCAAAATTTCCATCCTGATCTCGTTGTTAACTGAAGAGTTTACAAATATACCCCACTCCGTTCTATCATTGTTCATTCAAACTTAGTGATTGTCCGAAGTATGCGCATGGCAACACTTCCGCAAAAAAGGGAAAACGGCATCACGCAGGAATATGCAGAGCTCTTGAGCTCTTGTTGTTCTCGTACCCACGCAAGAGGTTGTGCTCTGGAACAGGGCTACGTTTACATGTGCAGATTCGACTCATTGCAACTATCAAGATCAGTGCAGCGCATTCAACGACATGCAGTGCTTGGTTCTCACATTCAAAAGTGGCTTCTCGCTAGTCGCAAAAAGAAACAGGATCTCGTGGACTTCGCCATATATTCAGCTCGCGGGGACGAAGTCGTAGGAGTAAAGGAGCAAATTGAGCAGCCTGACTACACGATGGTACAGATGCCTGGTGATTGGGCCTAGTAAGGTAATGACAAGCACGTATTGCTGGCTGACTCCAAGTACAGCAAACCCTTTGCACATGTTCAGAAAAAAAAATCGAAGTCAAGTTCGTAGCCCCAGTTGATCCCAGGCACAACAATCCAAAACTCTCAGACCAGTTTGGTCAGCTGAAAATCACATACCGCGCTTCAACTTTCGACACAACTAGTCTATCTTCTGATTTTGGTGGTTTCAACGGAATGGAATTCATAAGAACGACCGTCACATCTGATATTCTTCGCTAGAAACAAAACGAATTACTCATCGACTCATCATGAGCTCACGCAAACCATACGTACCGCTTCGATTACGGACCCTGTCGACCACAGTGGATGCATCTACTGCCATTATGCAGCAATCCAGGTATGCCAATGCTCAGGTGTCCCATCGACTTCGGCAGTCTATCAGAAGATGGGAGTCAGACTGCCGCGCCTGACTTCCCACGAATGGTGATGGCAAAATAATATGAATGCTCTAGGACATGCATGTTGCAGGCGAGGGTGGGCGAGCTGTAATTTAAAGTAGATAGAAGTATGGGTTATTCTGAAAACACGTAGAGATGGATGGTTGATATTTGATATTGCCTATTGAGTATTGATGGTAGGGATAGTTCACAGACCTGGTCACCACGTGTTAAAGCCGAGCAGCAACGCGAAAAGAAGTGGGCCGAATATCATTCCCTATATAAAGTGTGTAACAAGCATGGAAGGCCGGTGGGCATCGAAATGCAGAAAGTCTGTGCATCTGTCGTTCCAAACTTCGAGGCCAAACTTATGACCACTCATCAGCCGATACACGGAGTAGGTGCGGCATAACGGTGAAAGACGCAGCCCTGTCCCGTGCTGTAAATCATCAGTCAAGGCAGAATACGCGTAAGTTGAATTGACACAGTTTCCACTCTGCACTTCCTTCTGCAAGCAGGAGGCCCCAGGCTTGTGACTGGCAATGGCGACATTAAAAACTGGGGAGGAAGTATCACTGATACCAACTCCGAAATCTTGAAGGTTGCAAGTCACTGACTCGACATATTGTATGTAGCAAAAGAACGTTCAGGGAGAACCCAGGCAAACCGATGTCGGAGAGCCTATACAGGCGAGAAGCCTACTGAAGATGTATGTTTCGGGAAGAACCCAGGCAGACCTATGCTGGCCTACAGAGGCAGGAAGCCTATCCAAAAAGGAGCCAAAAGCGGGTCTACTACCAGGGCTGGCCAACACCCTGATGCGAGGAAGCGGCACCATCCCCTTCATGGAATGGCGTAATGCGACCGAACCAACGAAGCGGCACTTCACAGTCTAAACCCCTCCATTTGCCATCCCAATTTGGCCGAGCCAAAAAGATAAGCGACGACGACGGAAGGAAGCTCTGCTTGAACACAGAGGTGCGATCACATCCCATGCACCGGGGGGGATGGATGCTCGACAGACTGGAGAATGTAGATTCGCCAAATTGGCTGAGGGAAAAGAAGAGAACAAGAGTCGAAGATGGGTGAGGGTTGGAATAACCTCGAAATTTGTGGCTATGTTTCTGCTTGGCGCCACATAAAGCCACCCAGCCTGCCAAAGGACCCTGGCGTCGCACAGTTCGCACCTTCTGGGTGTTATTCTTATTACCCTCTTGTGGTTGGTGTAACGCAGGCGAGAAGGGGTTGGTGGTGGCTGACGGAAGGGAAGGGCACCGAGATGATCCTTCTTTCCATTCTACAGGTCTTTGTTGCGCCCCTCTTGATGAAATGCAGAACCATTCCTCAGGTTGACAAACGTCAAATTTCTTTTTTTCAAGATGTGAGTGGTTGATCAATGCTTGCTCGCAATTTGGACTCATCGCGTTCTCTAGTAGAAAAATCGAATGATGGCTTCCGACTCTGCCATTAATGACGATGATGGCGTCTCCACTTCTTCGTCTTCCGACACCTCCTGCAAATCCCGCTTCTCTGCCTCCTTGGTGTCACTTTACAAACCTACCGCGCCGAATCCCGATGTAACATCCAATTCAATCAATATTGAAAGCGCTTTCGAAGCGCTGAGGCTGGGACAATTGCGGGATCTGAAGAACCTCTTTGAAGCTGGTTTCGATCCATCAACTTCGTGGGAATATGCAGATTGCAAAGCCGCACTGATTGACGAACCGGATCTGAATCTGCAGGAGGGCAAGTGGACCATGGTAAAGATAGCAACATACAACGGGCATCAGAAGCTGATAGGGCTATTATTGGACGCTGCACCAACGCCGATGCGGTTGGACGATGTTCTGGTGGTGGCGGTTACCAGGGATTATTTGGCAGCTTTCGACATTCTCATTGAAGGGACGGATGAGAGATTTGAGCAGGTATATCCTGCCGCTGTGACGGCTATTGACATTGGGAAACCGGAAGCATTGACGGCTTTACTACGTTGCCTGCTGGAATATCCGACCCGGTTCTTGTGTAGTTTCGTGGGGTTGGCGGTAAAGGGAGGAAATTTGATCCTGTTGGACGCTCTGATAAATGAATGTGCTCGCTCGATTACTGAAGATTCAAAAAAGAAACGCCCTTCATATAACCAACGCCCGAGCGATTTGCAGCACCTCTTGGAAACGGTACTCACAACTGCGGCAGAACGCAACCAGCCTCAGATGGTGGAATGGGCTGCCAGTCTGTACGCTACCAGTGGC